TCCCATAAGATGATGAAGAACTTAGAATAGTAAAAACGGCTCTAAGATGTCATGTCGAAGAAAAATGAAAAGTTACATTATAAGAGGAAATAGAATCAATGAAATTGAAATAAGTGTGGAGTCTAGTTGATCTATCGCCAAGTAATAAAGTAATTAGGAACAAATGGGTTCTCAAAAAACAAAAAAAAAAAAACAAAAACAAAAGGTAGATGGATCAATTGAATAATATAAAACTCATCTTGTGACTAAAGGTTTTACCTAACAACCGGGTATAGATTATGAGAAAACCTTCTCTCCTATTGTTAGGTTTGCTTCAATAAGATTAAATTTAGCCATTGTAGCATATTTAGACTTAGAATTGCGACAAATGGATGTGAAAATGACTTTCCTTAATGGGAAGCTAGAGGAAGAAGGTTTTATTATTGAAAGCTAAGAGTATAAAGTTTACAAGCTCTAAAAGTCTATCTATAGTCTAAAACAATCATCCGGACAATGGTACCTTCAATTTCATAAGACAATAATGACTTATGATTTTAAAATGATCAAGGAAGACCATTATGTTTGTGTTAAAAAGCTGAAGAAACGTTTGGAATTCTATCCCTATAGGTTTATGATATTTTGATAGTTGGAAATGATAAAAGTTTTGTCATGTCTATCAAGGCGTGGTTATCCATGAATTTTGATACGAAAGACATGGGCTAAAAAAATTACATTTTGAGAGTTAAGATAATTAGAGATCACTAAAAAAATTGAACATTTTTTTTTAAAATTAACATTGGAAAAAAAAATTGACAACAGAAAAAAATAACAACAGAATGCTTAAATTTAAGTATTTTGCTTAATGGTCAATTGGATAGTTGATTGTTATAAATAACAAAGAAAAACAATGTTGAATAACATTTGTTCAAAAACCGATATTTGGAATTCAAATTACATAAATTGATAATAAATATCTGAAATTATCAAATTGTAATAGAATGGGACAATTTTTATCCTAAAATTAATAAAACAATAGAAAGTTGGGAAAGGTTGGAAGTTAGACGGTTTTGTTTTCTTTTAGCTTATGACTAGTTTTTTTACTCACGCTATAATATGCGTTGGATAGAACACCTAAAATTATTTTTAAAAAATTATTTGAATTTGATGTCTCGTGTTATATTGTGCATCTATTAAAATATATCAAATCAAAATTGAATAAAAAATCATTTAATTTTATATTTTTTAATCAAAATTTTGTATGTGACTTGATTATTTTTTATATTTTTATAATTTTTTGATTAAAAATATTATTTATTTATCTCTATCCACATTTTTAACTAAAAAAATTATAATAATGTAAGAAAAATGTCAAAATCAATGGATTCATAGCTAAAAATTATTTTGTAAATTATTTTTTTCTAAACATCTTTTTGCCTTAAAATTTTTAATTAAATAAAATTAGAGAAAAAAAGAAAGGATTAAAGTAACCAAAATGAAACAAAAAAGAGGGACTAAAATAAAACAAAAAAAATTATGCATTGAAAAAACAATGTTTAAAAAAGAGGGACCAAAGAGGAATGATACGAAACTTTCATGATAAATACTTTTAAAAAGTTTGAAAACTATAAAAAAAACCACCGTATAATAAAATGAATAACGCATGTGTGTGTATGTGTGTGAATAATGCATATGAGTCCGGATTAAAAGTATTTGAAACAATGCTAATAAATTGTAAATTAACATTTTTCGTTTAGTTTTTTTGTTAATTTTCTATTGTACAATCTACGCTATGTTTGTGTGGGGGAAAATAAGTTCCAAAAAGTTATTTTTCGATGTTTGTTTCTTGTTGAGAAAAAGATCAATGAAAAATGATTTTAGTCAATGAAAAATGATAGAGTATTTTTGAAAAAATGTTTTTCGAGTTAAAAAAGAGAAAAACATTTTCCTTCTCTCTCACGAGCTGTCTCGCTCTCGCATTATTCACGTCTCTCTCGATATATTTTAACAATTTTTTCTTTTTCTTTTTTATTTAAAATACATTGAATTAATTTTTAATTATTTCTCATTAATTATTATTAATTAATTAATTTTTTATATTTCTTTTAACATTTTATTTTTTGATTTATAAATACATTAAATATTTTTAAAAACTATTTTTACATTTGAAAATTATTTTTATAATAAATATTTTAATAATTTATCTTTTTTTTTTATCATTATCCCAAACACCACCTAAACTATACTTAAATGATTGAAAATAATTATTATTTATAATAAATATTTTAATAAATGTATTGTTTTTTCAACATTATTCATTTATAACTAAAACAATAATTTGTGACTATCAATTGTAAAATTTTGTAGGTAATTGTAGTCGATAATTAGTCACAAATTATTTCAACATTAATCTTTTGAAATGAAATGAATAATTATCTATAAATGATAACTAATAATTTGTAAAACTATTTTTTAGGCTAAATTCTCGGTTCAATTTTTTTTAAAAAATATTTTTGTATTTCTGTTTTCTGTATCAAACAAACACTGAAATATATTTTCCATTAGTTTTTTCATGTAATTGAACCGATAATTTTATGAGTTCAATTTCTAATTTTTTTTTTTTGTATTTCAGTTTTCTATATCGAACTAAATTTGAAATATTTTTTAAATAATTTTTCATGTAATTGTTAAACATCAGAAAATATTTTTTTAGAAAATAAATTTTTAAAAAATAATTTTTTCAGAATTAATATTTCTATAAAAGTTATTTTTTTTTGTCAAACAAACAAAGCCTAAGTGCTAACTAGGTCGCAGCTGAGTGACGCGTGACCACAAGAGCCGAAATTGAACAAAATCAGGTGCAGGTTAGTGCAATATGGTTGGTTTTACAAGCCATAGTTATCTTCTCGGGGTTCATCCTTTTCTTTTCTTTTCTTTTCTTTTTTCTGTAGATAAGATCCTGCAGTTAGGTTTTTAAGGAGTTACCGGATTGAATCAGCTATCATTATATAAAGATGATAAACCAGTTAAAACACTTACGTCAGTTTTAGGAACCAACTAGAACACTTGCGTGCAATCCAAAAGTGATTGGTCATAGAAGCCCAACACCTTTAATCCATCTACAAATTCATAAAATCCCTAAACAACTTGTTTCACTGCAACAGTAGAAAAATATTCATCAAAACGTAGCCTTTCCAATTAAAATAAGTACTTTGCAATAATTTTCATTTCAATTCCTGAATATTTAATTTATTCAATACAGGCCCTTGATGATAAATGCTCAACCCAGTTGCATTTGGGCCTAGGCTCTATGCCCAAGAGCCAACAATTAAGTGATCCTTTCAGTTTTTTTTTCTTTTTTCATGCCAATTCCATAATTTTCAATTTATTCGTTATGATCCCTCCACTTTCTTATTATATTTCGTTAGTTTTCTTTTCAATAATTTTATCCCGCAACTTTGTTGAAAATTAATTGTTTTCTTAAATGCATCTTAATAAGATTAATTAACATATTATTTTTAGGTTCTCAAATGAATATATATTTATAATTATCTTAAGTCGTTAAGCAAAGCCCATGCACCCAAAACTTCTTCATATTTATATCTTTTTTCATATCAATTCATAATTTTTCATTTGATTCAATATTGATCCCTAGATGTTTTTCTATAGGCAAAACTGAGAGGTCTAGGGAACCCATCACCAAAAGAAAAGGGAATTAAAATCCCATATTCAAATAAAAAATTGATGAAATTAATTAAACAGATTTAATATGTCTTATTTTATATGATACCCTACTCAACTCAATTTTTTTAATCCTTTTTCAAAAATTCTTCTTAAATTTTTTGTATCACCTTACAAAATCACATCCTATTATATTAGAGTAAATAATCTCACATGATCAGTGATTTACTTTTTTTGTAACTCCCATTCAAAATATCAATAGTGAATATAATTAAAAAAAATAAAAATAAGTCATTAAGTATTTATTATTTTGTACTAATTAGTAAATCATTAATGATTAGTTTGATTATATATATAAATAGTTTAATATATATATATAGTATTGAATTATATATTTATTATTTGTTAACTAACTTATATCATATATATTGCAAGAAATAAAAAAATCAATTATCTAAGTCACATCATATACCAGTTAATACTTAATAAAATGATATTATATATAATACGAAAAAAACACTAACATACTAATTTTACATATTTTTAATTAACAATCAGTAATTATCATATATTCATAAACTTCAATTATAAAGTAAAGTGAAAAACTTAAATTGATCTCTATAATATTTTTAATAATTATATATATTAAAAAAATAAGGAAAGAGTTTCTTTATTTATAAAAGTAAAATCTAGTAAACAATTAAACACTGAATAATTAGGTTAGTTTTATAGGATTTATACTAAATATATATTTATTGTTTTTGTTTTTATATATATATATATATATATATATATATATATATATATATATATCAACAAGAAAGAAAAGAAAATTGAGAAAGAAAATTTAATGGATCCAATTTATATAAAAAGAAAAGAAAAGAAAAGAAAAAGATTCTCATTCATAAGAGATGAGTTAAAAGTATAATCCTTTTTTTTTTTTTATAATTTCTCATGAGAGATTATTAAATAGGTTTTAAATATTTTTTAACATCCATCAAGCAAATTTTTATCCGAAGGAGAAGATTTTCATTCACCATAAATAATATGCGATTAAATTAGGTAATTTATTTATATTTAGAAAAACAAGTACATAAAATAACCCTAGCCATCGATTAGCTATGATACGTCACTCTGTTGGCAAGAGGACTCCAATCTATCGGTGAGTTCGGATATATGTCCACATGGCATTCATCAGGCTCCTGAAAGAAAAATCCGTCAACGGTCAACCTCGTTGAAAAGACAAAGTCCACAGTTCGCTCTTTTGATCATCCTCTTCAAGTCTTCTGCAACCACTACTGTTCTACACCCCAGCGTTCCATCTCTTTCTCGCTCTCAGAAGAATGGAAATGGATTCCATTTCCAACCAAAATGATGAATTCCCAATTCTTTCCTATCTTCTATCCCAAACCGATCCCAACTCTCAACAGTTGGACCAAAACCTGTCAGCTCAATTTCCCTATTTGAACTACCCAAAAGTCCTGTTCTCGCTGACCCAAGCCATCCCCTCCACCGCCACAAACACCCACTTCCTCCTCAAATCTCTTGGTCCCCGACCCAACCCAGACGTTGTCTCCATGGCCCGATCCAACATGACCCAGACGCAAGAACCGGGTCAAACGGAGATGTACAAGGCAGTGTTGAGATTGGAGGAGATGCATGAGGAGTATGCGAGGCAGTTAAAGGAAGTGGAAGAGAGGATTGTTGGTGTTTATAAGGATGTTGTAAGGGAGATGGAGAGTGGTGAACAAGTCGATGAGGAGGTTGTTGCTGTACTTAGAGAAGCAGAGACTGGTGGGGTTGTGGAAAGAGTGAATCTTTCTGAGCGTCAGTTGAGGTTGATTCCTGAATCCGTTGGCAGACTTCATGGCCTGCTTGTGCTCAATCTCTCTCACAATCTATTAGAGGTATCATAATTTTCTACTAGTTCTTTTATTTTTAATGTTTTGTCATGGAGAGAGTGGTAGTGTATTATTTGTTTTAGTTCTTTGGTGGAGATGTTTTCTTTAGATGACTTTGCTTAGCAGTATTATCTAGCATCTGCTTATGTTCTCAATCTTTGCCATCACATGCTTATCTCTGCTAAAAGCTATATGTATTGGTTAGCAACAGCTTCGCTGTTTCATTGTTGGTATGTTTGTAAAACTGTTAACCACCAATCTAAGGAGTGATATTTAGTTTGCTCCTTATTATCCATGAGCAAGTTGGCATCTAGCATTGGTTTATTCTTGATTTAATCAGCAAAAGGTTTCAAGCTGCAATTCCAATCAGGTAACAAGTAGAAACTCTGATTGTTATCTTCCCTTTAATCAGCTAACATGTTTAGTTTGTTAAAAACCAATGGGTCAAATTTAGCCCATGTCTATTGCATAAAAAAATTGTATATGGGAAAAATGAAAAGAGAAAGATAAATAGAAAGAAAGGTTATAGATGAGAGTATTTTAGTTCATACCAGTTAAATATCCAAGGTGCTGGTTAGGCTTTAGTCATAGGATAGAGCTTTCGAATATCCACGCGACACCCCCAGAAGTATTTCAAATCTTCATCTTTTGTAAAAATGCAATTCTATGTGCTGTAAAAGATCTTTGTTTATCCACACAATATGGTGGTTTACCTTCTAAGGTGGAGTTTGGGGTTTCCCATGGTCAAATTGCAAGCTTGGACAATTTGTATCCGTTGATTTAGCTATTTGTATATGAAATGTTATTGTTCACAAGAAGTTGTATTGGTACACGCAGTCATCAGTAGCCTTGAACAGATTCATAACTTTTTCTGTCCTAGGTGACTTTGAATGCTGAAGAAGCAATTTTTTGTTATTGATGCAATTAGTGGACATTATTTTTGTTGATTGGAATATGGTGTTTCTTTGAGTTTTTCTTGACATATGGTTCGTTTTTTTGGGGAAACAGGTCCTTCCCGATTCAATTTCAGGACTTGAGAAACTTGTGGAGCTTGATGTGTCTTCCAATCTTTTGGAATTCCTGCCAGATTCTATTGGATTGTTGCGCAATCTTAAGATTCTAAATGTGTCAGCAAACAAGTTGAAGGCCCTCCCTGAGAGCATTGCTCTTTGCAGGTGATCCTCATTTTCTGTATTCTCTTCCTACTTTTATCTGCTGAATTACCATTTTTGGTAGATTTTTTTTCTCACTTCCATTTGTTTCTGCTCTTTTCATTTGGTCTGCTGTTGAAAACTTGATTTGACTTTGTTGTAGTTCAATGGTAGAGATAGATGCAAGCTTTAACAACTTGACGTCTTTGCCAATGAATATTGGATATGGACTGGTGAATCTTGTGAGGCTTTCAATCCACCTTAATAAGATCCGTCTTCTTCCACCTTCTATTTGTGAAATGAAGTCTTTGAGATATTTGGATGTTCATTTCAATGAGCTGCAGGGGCTGCCACGTGCAATAGGGAGATTGACAAATATAGAGGTCCTGAATCTGAGCAGTAATTTCAGTGACTTGGCAGAGCTTCCTGAAACAATTGGGGATTTAACTAACCTCAGGGAGCTCGATCTGAGCAACAACCAAATCCGAGCTCTTCCTGACACATTTGGTAGGCTAGGAAATCTAACCAAGCTCAACTTGAACGAAAATCCATTGTTAGTTCCACCAAAAGAGATAGTGAATGAGGGGGTTCAATCTATCAGGGAATTTATGGCAAAGAGGTGGCAGGATATAATAGAGGAAAAGCAGAGGAACATGGTTGAGGCTAACCAGCAACCAGCGCAGAGTGGATGGCTGGTATGGGGCACCTCCTTGCTGAACAACTTTGTTTCCGGGGTTTCTCAGACTGTTTCAGGTTATGTAGGAGAAAAATCTCCAAGAGATCCGTATCTGGACCAACTGCTCTGAAGTGGTCTGTTCTTTGAGTTTCTGGTTTCTTCAAAGTCTGTGTGAATACTTTTTATAGTAAGTAATAGACAGTTGATGAGATAGCTCTTGGTCTCTCTATCCTTGTGCTTCTGTTGAATTATATATCAAGGTTCTGTACTGGAACATTATCGATACCTGTTAATGTATACTTATTTTACATTGCAATTGTCTTTGTTTTCTTTCTGGTACAATTATTTTAAGTGAAAGCCAAAATAAGGATTGTTTGGTCATTAAAGCTCTAATACTATGTCAAAGGATCATCTCATTAAAAAATTAAATTTAAATTGTTACGTGAAATTTCAAGATATGATTTGGGTTGTGCTGGTTAGGCTTACCACATACCTCCGGCAGGGAATGTTGAGACATGAATTGCAATGTTATGTTTTTAGGCTTTAATCCTTTTATTCATTCATCTACCTATGAAGGATAAAAGAAAGGTCGAAACTGACCCCAAGGACACCAACTCTGTAAGTGCAAGCAACTGGAAGAAAGGAGGGGTTTGTTGCTGAAACACGCAAAACAAGAGTCGTTATTATTATCGCGATTGATGGAGGTAGTTCTTATGTTGTGTAACTTAACTATAGAGATTAAACATATATAACCTGGAGCAGACAGTGGCTGATCTTTTTCGCGGAGTTGTTGTTTGGGACCCCATTTAATTCAGGTTAGAACATAGTTTTAAAAAACAGCGGTATCATAACAGCTTATGTATATAACAGTTTTGGAATATTTTATTCTCGGTGTTCGAAATTAGAGGTGTTTCGACATTATTTTATAAGTATAATCACAAATAATGATATTACTGTTATGTAATGCGGTTATATATACATATATTCTTTTTTTAAAAAAAAATCTGATATTCAGCCATTTCCACGGCTAAAATTCAGCCCGGGGCAGAGAGCCAGAGGGCCATCGTATATGAAGAGTAGACTTGAGAGAATAAGAATCAAAAGTTGCTGGCTTTGATTGAATAAATTATAAATTAACCTCTTTATTTTAGAAAAAAAAATTAGTTAGTCTTTTTTATTTCAAAAATAAATTCTTTAGTTAGTTTTATCCATTTTATATTATTTTATATTTTATTTTTCCTTTTAAAAAAAAAATAAAAAAGGGAAAACAATAAATTTCTATCATCAAAGAAAAAAATATTATGTGAAATAAAATAGATCATATTAAATATGATTAACACTGATTAAGAAATTAAATAATTAGTTTTTGAAATAAAAAGGATTAAATACTAATATATATATATTTTTTTTATCAAAACTAGATGGACTAATGTATTACTAATAAACTAAAAAAGGTGGGGCTTTTGAACATTGGCAACGCTATTCAACCCCTCACAATATACTGTTCACTCATGTTTTTTTTTTTTTTTGGTTCTTCAAATTTAATCTTTAACTAATGCACTACATGCCTTTCCTCTTTTTTTTTTTTTTTCTTTACTTTTTTCCATCAATTTATGTTCTTTTTTTTTTTTATTTAATTGGGTGTTACCCTTATAATGTATTATTCACTCTCAATTTTTTTTTTGTAATTTTTAAATTATTTCATTTACGTCCCTAAAATTTTAAAATAAAAATTTTAATCCCTAGCTCATACACTACATGCATTTTTTTTTGTTCCTTGGTTTTTTTTTCTTTTGCTTTTTCTATAAATTTATATTCTTTTTTTATTTAATTGAGTGTTAAAATTTTTAAAAATTAATCGTTACTTTTTTCCACACAAACTGATGATTATATAATAAATATGATATATTTTTATATTTTAGAATAAATATATACTACTTTTATTGTTTAAAATTAATATTTTCGATTTATTATAAAAATTATCATGAATTTAATTTTTATTCTTATTTTTTATATAATTTTATTTATTAATAAATATGATTTATTTTCTCTATGTATGGATTCGAATAAGTTTTTTTTTTATATCAGTTTTTATTTGCTTAATTCTTATATAATAAAATTTTAAAAATAGAATATATGTATTTTATTTTCTTATTCTTTATATAATCAAATTTTATCGAAATCAATTTTATAGTTTTTATTGCACTTCATTAACTTCAATATATATTTTATAATTTAATTTTTCAAAAATATTTTTCTATTTATGCTATACATTCTCATCCATTGAGTGCGGTCATGATGTATAAAAACAATAATATTAGAGTCATTGATTTTATTAGAAATCAACTATACTTCTACACACACAACACCAACTATTTGCTATTATTTTTTATATTTTAAAATTAATTTTTTCAAAGAAAATAATTGAAACAATATTTTAGAATAAATACTAAATAATTCAAATATAATTTTATATGCTAATATTATTCATTATTTTGTAAATAAATAAATATAAATAAAATATACATATTTAAGAAAATAATCTTCTCGTCAATAAAAAAACTTCATTTATTAATTTTCATACAAGTTTTTATATTAATTATTGCTTTATTTCTTTGATGCAATGTTATCAAAAAAATATTAAGATTTTTTTTTAATTTTATATTAAAATTTTTTTATTAGGCGTTTTTATTTAGGAATAAATGCATAAGAAAGAACAAATCATATATATTTTTTTACTTCAAAATTAATTCAAAACATAAAAAAAATATATGAATACAAATTTTGATTAAAAATTATAAAATTAGATAAAATTTTATCTTTTATATTTAATTTAATATATTTTAGTTAACCGGCAATCTAGTATATATTATTAAACTGAAATAAATATATTTTTTCGATTTGTAGCACAACACGGGAATCTAAACTATTCATATGCCTAAAATTCCTATTTACTTATCATTTATATGCATAAAATTACTATTCACTTGATGATAATTTAAGTAATTTTTGTGTATGTTGTTTTGTGTGTTTTTGAGTATTAATATGCAAATTTAACATTTTTTTTTCTGTTTTCATCCCTTGTGTTGTAACATTGTTTTTCAATCCTTAACTTTTATTTTTTTTTTCACGCGGCACGCGCGCGCGCGTGTGTATTATCTTTTTATGTTTTAAAATGAACATATACTTTGGCTTATATTACTTTTATTATTTAAATTTTATTTTTTGAATTTATCAGTTTTTGTGAAAATTATCATCCAATTAATATTTTTATATATAATTTTATTGACTGATAAATATAATTTATTTTACTCATATATATATATATATATAAGTTAAAAGTGTATTTTAAATAATTTTTTTCAGTTCCTAAGTATGGTCAAGGTGTATAAAAAAAATATAGAATCATTTTTTTAATTAAAAATTAACTATACATCTTCTAACATAATACAAATTATTTACTATGAATTATTTTTTTTTAACATCATAGAGCCAATTTATTTAAAATAAAATAATTAAAATAATTTTTTAAGGGAACCGACCAATTATTCAAATATTGTTTTTATGCTAATTTTATTGATTATTTTGTAAATAAAGATATAGAGATCAAATGCATATACTTTTTTTTTTAAAAACAATAATCTTCTCATCAATATCAAATAAAAATAATTTTTTATAATTAGTCAACTTTTATGCAAGTCTATGCATTAATTGTAACATTATTATTATTTTTTTTGATATATTCTTATAAAACAATTATTTTTAAAGTATTTGTTTTTGAATTCTTATTTAATATTTTCGGTTTAAGTTATTACAAGTTTTTATTTAAGAATCCCTAAATAAAGAAGAATAAATCATGTTTTTTTTAAGCGTAAATTTTATGAAAAACAAAAAAATAGTAATAATTAAATAAAAAATAATGAAAAAATTATAAAATTTTGAAATAAGTTTGTTCTATCTACCTGCAGTGTTACGCGGATAATTTGAAAAATTAATCTTCTCATAAGCATTAAATAAGAATTTTTTTTCATTTGTTAGTTTTTATAAAAGTCTATCCATTAATTATAATTTAATTTTTTCTAATACAATATTATGAAAATATATTTTTAAAGTTTTTTTAATTCTCGATTAATATTTTAGTTAAAATCAATTCATAAAGAAAAATAATTTATGTTTTTTTAAACGCAAAAAAATTTATAAAAAGATTTGGAAAAATTAATTGGACAAAAATTATAATTAAAAAATTTTAAAATGATTTTGTTTTATTAGATCCGCGGCGTAACGTAGGCAACTGACTAGTAATTTATCGTATATTATTGTTTGGTGCGTGCACCAAATTCAAAGACCTACAAATGTATACTTTAAGTGAGTATATTATAAATTAGTTCTTTTAATTTAGACAAATAAATTAGTTGGCCCGTCATGTTTCAAAAATCAATTATATAGTTATTTTTTTCATTTTATGTTATTTTTTAATTTGTTTTTCTTTTTTCAAAAAATTAAAAAATAAATTTATATCATGGAAATATTGATGGAAAAAAATTATGAAATAAAATATATTATATTAAACACGGTTAACAGTTAACACTAATCAAAAAATTAAATTAGTTTTTAAAGCATAAGCAACTAATTAATTCATTTATTAAAACTAAAGGGACTAATATATAATTTACTCTCTATTATTCTTTGTTGCGTGCACAGAATCCAAAGGCCCGCAAATCTAGGCTTTAGTTGAGTAAATTATAAATGAGTCCCTTTAATGTAGAAAAATAAATTAGGTGGTCTTTTTGTTTCCAAAATCAATTATTTAGTCATTTGTTTTCCATTTTATGTTATTTTTTAAAAAAATTAGAAAAAATAAAAAATAAATTTATATCATGAAAATATTAATGAAAAAAAGAAACATCTTGTGGAATAAAATATATTGCATTAAATATGATCAATACTGATCATAAGATTAAATAATTAGTTTTTAAAATATAAAAAATTGATTTATTTATTCATCAGAATTAGAAGGACTAATGTATAATTTACTCTACCAAATTCAAAGGGCTGCATGCTTGCAGGCAATCAAATATTGAAAGAAAAAAATGCATTCCTAGCCGAGTTTAAATATTATGTTATTTTTATCTCATTCATGCCTTTATGAAATTATAAGTAATCCACTCTCAATTCTCAACACTCGATAGTCAACTCTTTCTTTCTTTTTTCTCATGTCTCAATTCGTTTTACCTTTTATTTTCTTACCAAACCATATAATGTTTTTTTAATATTTACTTGGGAAGTAGAGAATTCACATAGATAATTTTCCACTTAAACTAATTTATCATTTTTTGTTAATTTTTGAAAGTAATTATTATTAATTTTATAGGTAATGTATTAAGAATTATATTAAATTGAGCTGAAAGTATTGTTGCTAACTTTTATATTGGATATGAACTTTGTTATATATAAATTCATTTCATCAATATTTTTTTTATTTCAGATCAAATTTTTTTATTAGTTTCATTAAAAAGTTTTTTTTTATATTTTAATTTTCAAATTTATTTTCTTTTTTCGATATAGCTATTGAATATTATAGATGACTCAGTATTAATTAATATTGTGAAATTTTTTTTTGTGTTATTAATCTATTAGAAATGTTATTTATTATTTTGTTTGTAATAAATTTAAATAATATTGTATGATTTTAAACTATCCGAGATGCTAGTATTTATTAGTATGCTTAATTAGTAAAATTATTAAAAACATATAAATTAGAATAAATTTAATAATAATTACTAATGTATTTATGACATCGATTACTAGAATCGTTATTTTTATATCATGATAATCTGCAATTGATAATTACGATCATGATTGTTTTTTAACTGCAATCACGATTTTTATTTTACAGTTATGATAATCTAGGATCAAGATTTGTTATTTCAACCGCAGCCGCGCAATTTAAAAATTATGTGTGGGAAGTTCTATCCTCTTATTGACTTAGGAGCATTTGCGTTCTCGTCATTTATATACAGCTAAATTTTTCTACCTGCTGGAGTAAGGACTAAGGAGTATCAAATCTTCATAACTCGTTTCGTTTAGAGCTACAATTTTTTCACGAAGATGACTTCTTTTCACTTGGTAAATGATGCCAATTCTCCTTCAGTTTCTCCTAATTTTGTTCTCCCAGACAACTCAAGGCCACATTTCTCACGGGTATCCACTTTGTCCTCATCCTATCATTGATCTTAATGATCCTGACCGGTTCCAGTTGGTTCAACAAGTCTCAAGGGCTTGCAAGGAATACGGATTCTTTCAGATCACCAACCATGGAGTCCAGCAAGAATTATGCGAACGAATGATGGGTGCTATTACTGAATTCTTCGAATTGCCTCCTGAAGAAAAGGCACAATTCTTTACAACCGAACTCACCAAGCAAGTAAAGCTCCTCAACTACTATCTCAAAATTGATGGCCAGGACGAGAAAGTCACCATGCGGAGTGAGTCCTTCTCTCACCCTTGGCATCCTTTGGATGATATCATCCATCTTTTACCACAAAACCCTCCTCAGTAACGGTATGATTGCTTCTTAGCTTCAGTTTGACTTTAAGCTGTATAGTCTCCAATCTTCATATGTAATATGAACCCTATCGATTATCTTATGCTTTTTTTTTTTTTTTTTTGATGTCTATAGAGAGGTTGTTGCTGAATGTGGAGAGGAGGTACGTGCTCTGATTAATAGACTTCTCAGCTTAATATCTCAAGGACTTGGACTAGAGAAGGGTGTCTTAAAGAAGAGGCTGGGTAATAAGCGATCACAAGCAAATTATTATCCACCATGTCCAGACCCTGAGCCAACCTTGGGCCTGGCTAGCTGTTCACACTGGTCTTAGTACACTGGCTGTGCTTAGACAGTCAGAAGGTGTGGGTGGCCTCCAGGTGATCAAAGATGGGAAATGGGTTGCCGTCGACCCTGTCCCAAATGCATTTGTCATCAATATAGGCGATCAGATTCAGGTAATTTAGGTACTTAATTCATGAAAGTTAAAATTCCAGGCTAATCCCGAAATGAAACACACTTGTACAACTTATAATCATAACTTTATATTTTTTCAAGAAGCATAACAATCCTTATGTGATTTTATTATGGATGTTATCCACGTTAACACAATTACCGATAGTAGTTCTGATTAATTAGCAATTTATTTCCCATCTAATTGTTCGTCAATTTTGTGCATTACTTGGATGAAAAATAATTCAGTTTTTCTTTAATTCACCCATATCATTTCATTATGCTACCAGCGTGCCCAAATGTGTTGTTATTGTTTTTATTTTATTTTATTTTTTTACAATTTAGTGGGTGTATATATATATACTAGAATCTCAAATGGGAGAACTAACCACTTAGGGTAAAGGATGGGTAAATTATAAATTAGTCGCTTCAAAACGAATTACATAGTTTTAGTAATTTTAAAAAACTCATATTTGATCTTTTTATTTTTAAATTTATTTGTAATTTAACATTTTTTTCAATTTATTTTATTTTTTAAGAAATAAAAAAAAATGTGAAAAGATTGATGAGAAAATTTACGTTTTGAAACAAAATAATCTTAAATTAATCATGATTAACACTGATCAATGAATGAATTAATTAGTTTTTAAAATTAGAGAAATTATTTAATTATTTTCTCAAAACTAAAGGGATTAATTTATAATTTACTCAATGAAGGACGCCATGAGGGAATATGATGCCTCATCAAATTGGAATTTAATTTTCATTTCTTGTCTATTATTCAATTATTCATTTTGTCATAAAAACTTGTTAAAAGATGAAATTTTGTGCTAATACCAAACCGTACGTTATGATTGTGGTTCTGCACACCATCAAGGCAACCAATGTTACGTATTTATACTTTATGGTTTGAGTACACAATACAAGGGGCATAGTTTTCCATACATGATCTCTCCCATATGCATGTATACTGTAAGAACATAAACTCCACACATATACAATAGAAATATATTATGTATTTTCCATAATATGCCCCGTCAAGCTTATAAGGTAGCCTCGACATGAAGATTGGATCGAAGATGCTCAAAACCAGTAGTTGGCAGAGACTTGTCAGGACATCGACAAGCTGGTCTTGAGATCATATAAACTGAACTAAATGTGGTCGTTTGGCTACTCAATCGCCAAAAAAGTGAGAGTCTACCTCCAAACGCTGAGTGCATGTATGAATGATAGGATTAGCGGACAAGTAGCTTGCCCCTAAATTCTCCCACCAAAGCAATGGAGGCAAAGACAATGACTAATGACGTTCACATAATTAACAAGGTCTGTAACCATACCAATTCCGCAGTACCATCAATGAGGGCTTTATATTCGGCCTCAATTGATGAACGTGCCACCATTTGCTGCTTTCCAGATTTTCAAGAGATGGGATTAGACCTTAAAAACATAATAAATCCACCAATGGACTTTCGGTCATCAAAACGGCCTGCCCAATCTACATCAGTGAATGTCTATTATAACTGATGAGAGCATTTATGAACAATGTGAAGACCACAATTCATTTTGGACTTCAAATACTGCAATATACATTTAACTGCCTCCCAATGAGCCTCCATTGGAGCATAGATGTACTACAAACTATGTTCCCAATAAAACTAATGTCTGGGCCAAGGGAAAGTCAAATACTGAAGTGCACCTACGATTTGACGATAGCCAGCTGGTTCAGAATATAGCTTGCCTAAATATAAGGTGAGCTTTGTGGATGTAGGCGAAGAAGTTGCAGTTGATATACCAATCAGAAATTCCATCTTTGGCTGAAATCTCAAAAATATATTTTGATTGTGTGAGTAGCAATCCAGTAGCAGGGTTTGTGACCTCAACACCAAGAAAATAATTCAGCAAACCAAAATCTCTCAACGGAAACTCAGAAGCTAATAGAGATATTAGTTTCTAAACCAAAACAAAACTGCTCCTAGTAAGCAGATGTCATCCACATAGACTAGGAGAAAAATAAGCTCACCGTCATGAGAAGGAACGAAGAGAGAAGTGTGACTCTTGAAAGGCACAAAACCAATGGAAACAAGAAAGTCCCTAAGACGATTATACCAAGCCCGAAGAGCCTGTTCAAATCATAGAGAGACTTATGAAGTTATAAACATGTGTAGGAAAGGAAGAATTGACGAAACTTGGTGGCTACTCCATGTAAACCTTCTCCTGAAGAATCCCATTAAGAAAGACATTATGGATGTCCAGTTGATGAATAAACCAATTCCGATCTACCGCAACACTGAGGCCAAGCCGAACTGTGGTAGGCTTTATCATTGAACTTAAAATCTTAAAGTAGTCAATGCATTACTGCAAATAAAAGCCTTTCGCTACCAAACATGCTTTATATCCATTAATCCTCCCATCTGCACGTCATCTTACTCTAAACCCATCGACAGCCAACCAAAATTCATAGAATGGTGAGAAGGAACCAATGCACTTTTTGTTGTGTTATTTACTTAATAGAGTAGGATTTGCAGCTAATGAATTTGATAAAAAAAAAAAAAAAACCAACAATAATGAATACACAGATTTTACGTGAACCCTTAAACAAATTAAGAGAAAAAACCATAGACAAGATATAAGAACTTCATTATGAGAAATAATAGGAGTTACAACATCTCTCTATACTACAAGGAGAAAACAATAAATTTCTTTCTTAAAATAGGAAAAACACTCTCTATATTTTCTAGGAACTAACCTCTCTCTATTTCTTTTTCTCTCACTTTTGGGGATGGATGGAGGGATAGTTTTGAACTAAGGTGGGGAGGCCTATAAATAAGGCTCCCTCCTCGCATGTACCGCCTCATCCGAGGCGAGTGCATGCACTAGTTACGACTTGCATGCAAGCTATGATTCCGTGGACAATTTGTCCACGGAAAGGCTTTCAACAATCTTCCACTTGAAGATTTGATTGAAAGTCAATCAAATCTTCACACTATTCTTTTTATCTTATCTTCCCATGTTGCTTATGTCTTCATCGAGCCTAAGGAGGATCAACACCAAATAAACTTATCGGCATTGATTGCTTTTGTCATAAAATCGTCGGAGTTGTCTTTGGTATGAATTTTCTACATATCCACAGACTCTTTCTTCCACTTTCTCACGAACGAAGTGATACTCGTACTCGTATGTGCTTTGTCTTTGAATGAAAGTCTAGATTCCTTGCAAGATGCAAGGCACTTTGACTCGTCACAAAACAGAGAAATCTTTTCTTATTTGTGCACGAGTTCCTCCAATACCATTTTCAATCGATCGCATCTTTATTAGCTTGTGTAGCTACTACATATTCCGCTACGTTGTTGACGTAGCCACAATCGACTAAAGTTTTAAAACCCAACTTATAGCTCCACCGGTAAGTGTAAGCGCATAACCTGCGATTGATTTGCTTTTATCCATATCACTCGCATAATCGGAATCAACATAACCGTTGATAGTAAATTATGATCCTCCATAACATAATCCAACATCTGAGGTCCCCTAAATGTATCTTAGGATCCCTTTTATCGCATTCCAATGCTCTCTACTAGGATTCGCCATGTACCGACTAACCACTCCCACTCGCATGCGTAATGTGTGGCCTTGTACAAATCATAGTGAATATTAAACTTCCCACTCGCTGATGCATACGATACTTGAGACATCTTTATCCTCTCTTCTTCACTTATATGGCCCATACTGGAGGATAACTTGAAATTAATAGGAAGTGGGGTAGAAATTAGCTTAAAATCTTACATGTTGAAGCGTCGTAAGATCTTCTTCAAATAAGTCTTTTGAGAAAGCCAAATCTTTTTATTATTTCTATCTCGATGAATTTGCATCCCTAGAATCTTGTTTGTTAGTCCTAAATCGTTCATTTCAAATTCCTTAGCCAACTGTGCCTTCAATTACGTAATACGATCTTTGTTGGGGCTCGCTACCAATATGTCGTCGAGATACAACAACAAAACAATAAAATCATTTTCACCAAACCTCTTGAAATATGAACAAGGGTCCGCATTAAGTCCGTTGTATCTAAGGCTCATAATGAAGGAATCAAATCTCTTGTACCAACACCTCGACGTCCGTTTTAGACCGTACGGAGATTTGGTCAACTCCGCAAATCAATTTCTCTTTTCCTTTTTCTTCAAAACCTTCGGTTGGAGCATATAAATCTCTTCTTCAAAATCTCCATGAAGAAAAGCTATTTTCACATCTAACTTCTCTAGATGTAAGTCAAACATAGCACAAGTTGTCAAGACTACTCGGATCGTTGTAAGTCGACCCACATGTGAAATATTTCATTAAAGTCAATTCCTTCTTTCTAAGCATATCCTTTCATAACTAATCTTGCACGATACCATTCCATTTGATCATCGCTATTTCGCTTGATCTTATAGACCCATTTGTTTCCAATGGCATTTCTTTCTTGTGGTAACAGGATAAGTTTCCATGTCTTATTCTTATGATGAGCTTCCATTTCTTCCCGAATTTCGCAATCCACCGATCCGCATATGAGTAACTCGAGTGTCGCTTGGAGTATTGATGGTTCCCCTTCCTTAGTTAAAACGCAATATGCAATATTGCTCTTCATAATGTAGTCATCTGGTCGTATTTTTATGTAATTTGATCGAAGAACTTCGAAACTTAAGACTCGACCGGTTCTTGTACCTCGTGGTCTAGTGCTCGCTTTAGAAGAATCGTTTTGTTCAACTTTCTTTTCTACCGGTACTATTATAGTCTACGAAGTGCTATCACCTTATTCTTTTCTTTACGGATCCTTTTCTTACGATCCTTTCTAAAGATGACTTCCCTATTGATAATAACCTTGTGGATAGTGGGATCTCACAAGCGATACCCCTTCACTCTGTCAACATCCCCAAGAATAAGCATTTCCTAGATTTTAGATCTAGCTTTGTGATTTATTAGGCATTGTATATCACGTACACGGGACTTTCAAATATATGGAAATTTGAATAATCAATCGGCT